ATTTTTTGCTACCCCGTACTCGAAATATAAAGGGGTATATTGGATTTATGGTAACGCACATGAGGAAACGTTTCTGACCTCATAAAGTATATAATATTCTTGATCAGCATCAATAGCCGAGTGGATATAGCCATAAAACGCCGAACGCTAGAACAACCAAATTTTGTATCCGACTGCTGTGATACTACACCCTGCACCCACAAAGGTCGAAATCCGTGGCAAGCGCGGCAAGAAAACCGAAAGCGCAATATTGTAGAGCATCTCCTCGATTTCGGTCGGGTCATTTTTGTAGACGGAATGAACGAACAGTTCAGTTGCATGCCCGACAGTCAATGCCCCATGGCTCCATGCAACCGCAAACGGAGTGCACAACTCTGACCCTCAAAGGATTCGTACTACGCTCCATTGGCTTGAAGATTCGCGTCTTTAATTATTATGGGCTAAGGCAGGAGGGCTGCATCTGGGCCTGCTTGATCTGTCTCCATCTGCTTATCCCTTCGTCAGTTTTTCTATTTATTTGAATGTTTCATTTCACACGCACATGAAGGGGAGACAAGTCTTGGCAAGTTGCACGATAAAGAGATGCAAGATGGCGCAAAGAATTCCGCCATTTTGTACGCATTTTGCTCAGCTACGTCACAAATTTCGATTTTCAACAGAGCGCATATATGCATCTCGCTCACACTTACAGGTTTTTGGGGCAGCGATTAATGGAAGATTACAAGTTCCTTTTTGTTCTGGATCTGGATCAGATTGGATTATTATTATAGCCAGAATGAAGAAATTATTTTGCAGTTGCTACGCTGAAATGTTCTCTGACATCAAACCAGGTTTTCGTCCGTACATGACGCGTCACTATAGCTGTGCTCTTCTAACATAACGGTGCTGCGCTTTTGATTTGTGTATCGTGGGCATGTTGATTAATTTCGCAGAGTGCCTGCGAGGGCGCAGCAGTAGCGTTTATGGTAAAAATCCCAGGCGCTATGCCAAAATATGAGCCATCTATGAGTATGAGTATTAAGTAGGCAGGAGGCAGGCGGCTGCCCCCTGCCAAAAAAAAAAAAACCATTTATTATATGGCACACACTTTAGTTTATGGCTTTTTATTGGGATTCGCATAAAGTTTAAAGGCGGAAAAAAAGTTTCCTTTCAAAGTTTTAGTAACTTTTATTTATTGCCCTTCCCCCACACCATTTTGCGATTGTGTTGTAAAATTTCATAGCAAGATATCCATTGGTGTGTGTGTGTGTGTGTGTGTGTATCTATGGCTTTAAGTAGGCTCATCTTTTGTATCTTTGCATCTCTGTCTATTGCCTAAGTGGCCGGCCATGAAATGAAGTTTTATGCGCCGCTTGTCAAAGTTTATAGGCTCCTCAACTCCACAGCCTGTGCAGATATTTAGATATATTCATCTACTTGTCTCGGTTCATTGGCAAGCGTTGGGTATAGGGGAAAACAAGCGCTACATACATACATACATATGTAGATAGTAAAAGAAAAACCATTTTGGAAATGTTCGCTAATGATTTGCTCTGGCAATGACTTTCTCTTTTGTTTCGTTTTCAAATGACGATTTTGTTAAGCGCAACCTGGGATCGTTTTTGGGTGCAAAATTTTCCACTTTAAACGTTTAAAGAGCAAACAAAATGCATAGATGAATATTTTAGAGGAAAGGATAAAAATGTTAGGGACAAAAGTAGTGGAAAGTCGGACTACGATATCTCCAGGGAGTCATTTTCGGTGCCCGTAGGATGGGCAACTAGAAGCCAGGATACTCAATAAATTTCTGCTGCATTGCTGATTCTACGATGGGGAGAGGAAGTTCACTCCTTTGGTGGAGAAAATCATGTACCACCCCCCTAAAGGGTACTCTGGAATGATTCAGCGAGATGCCAGCTCATGATCAGATCCTCTAACAAATCCCCAACAATGCCCAACAAAAGTGTCATAACTTTCAGCTGAGAGTCAATCAGCGCCACCGCATTAGCTCTCACAGCAATCAGCTTTCCACACTTATTGCCGCCGCTCGACCAGCCCCGGTCGCCCCGCCCGCTGTGCGAACAATAAGAAGCCGCAGGATAGCAGAGGAAAGCGCCCAGCAGGCGCACATACAATGTTTAATCACGCGGCGGTGAGGGGCGCATAAATCCCATTGTCTTGGATGAATGTGTCCATAAATTGCAGCATTTGCGGAGCTGCGCATCAGCGACAGAAGCAGCAGCGCCGCCCCTCACCCCCCGGCGAGATATCATTAACATTATTGTACCGACCTGACTGGCATTACAAACAATTTCCTTTGCAATTTACACTTTAATTAATGCATCAGTAGCAGCCGTGCCAAAAAAAATAAGAAACAATAACAAAAACAAAAACAGACAGAGTGTGTCACTGACTGACTGACTGACTGACTGACTGACTGAACTGAGGGAAGCATTAAGAATCGGAGCGGAGGGCATCATTAAGCCCAGATCCGGGCTACAAGCCCAGATGTGTCTGTCAGTGGGGATTATGTCAGTCCTTCTCGGCATGGCCTTGTTGTCGTTGTCGATAACAAACGACATGTTCATTGGCCATGGGCCACGGGTAGGTAATCGTAATTCCAACAAAGTGATTTCGATTCCATAGCTGTCAGGCATTACCCACCCGTCCTCTCTCACTCTCTGAATATGAATGAATGCGTCTCGCAGCGCAGAGAAGGAGTCGGTGCCCAGTGAAGGTGATGGCGTGGCAGCGTGGCAGCGTGGCAACGATTATTAACAATTGCGGCATGCGCGATTTCATTTGTCCCTTTCGTCCCGTCCCCAACGCTGATGCCAACTCAGACTTTGACTCTGGACTCCCATTCTGCTTTTTTCTGCTGTTCGTTTTCCGTTTCATTACCTTCCAGCTCCCGCTCCCGCTCCTGCTGCTGCTGCTGCTCCTGTTTCGAATTTGCTTTCATTTCGTGGTTTTTCGCAATTTATACGGATATATACGTATTTTATTTTCGACTTGCACCTTTGTGCATATTGTTTTTTATTGTAGTCATTGGCTGGCGTCGGGCCCCTTAAATCATTTACACTTGGCTGAAAGCAGTCGAACCCGCACCAGCAAACCACTTGAAAACTTGAGGCACCTCCAAATGAATTTAATGCCGCGCAGTTGAAGGCTCCAGTTAAGCCCACCCCACCCCCCACGGATCAGCGTAGCTCATCCGAAAGAAGCCGCGATGCCTGCAGCTGCTGATTGGATATCGTTTACGGATGCACAGAACCAAACCGAAACGAAACCCAAAGCCACTTTTAAATGCCAATGCTCTGGGCGACCATTTGGGGCATGAATAAGTTAAGTAAGGCTTGAAAATCGATCAAGTTGGGCATGCAAAATGTGCAAAACAAAATTAGAAATATTCTGAAAAAAAACAAAAACTTTAAATAACTAAATAAAATAAATTACAATTCTTATAGTTTTTATTTTGTGCTACAAAGTTTCTTTAGCTATGATTCATACCACATACTTATCGGTTTCATTGCGTATTCATTGATTTATTGCCAGTTCGAATGCTGACTCATAGTCAATTCTTTGCTCATCGTATCGTAAAAGATCCATTAAGAATTCACTACCGATCGTAACAGAGTTATTATTCCTTTATGAGGTATTGAGGATTCATTGCTTGATTTATTGATTCACAGACTACTCGTACCACTCGTGTGCCCCGTTTATTGTCTGCATGGATATCCGTGGAAATGCCCTTCAACATTATGTGTATATTCAAGCGATTTCGTCCATTCAACAAATCCATTCAGCATAGTTTTTCTTCTCTTTTTTGTCCCCCCAGTTTTTCATGCCCCACTATTGCACACAATATGAAAATTTATCCGAGATATGTACAATGCCATCTGCATATATAAATACACAGACATGTATCTTCTTTTATTTTTTGTTGTCTGTTGCAACTACGGCTAAGCGATGGCAGCTGGTGGCAGGCAGTAGCAGTGGCAGACAGGCGGTTGGAAATGTGTCTGGTACTCATTTCTGGTATCTGGCCAGCATTACGGGTCAGCGCTTTTGACAATTCGAATGCAAAAAACAAAACAAACAAAAAAACAAAAGCCGCTGACAGGGCGGCAGATGGTAAAGGCAAGAACCTTCGACCAGCAACAGCCACAAGAAAAAAAAAAACAAAACAAACGATAATAATAATAATAATATGAACAGCCGAACAAAAACACACAAAACCGGTATGTTCTCAAGGAACAAACCAAACAAAGCAAAAAATGATAAGTACGAGAGGTTGATGAATCTTTTGCAAAGTATTTTTTACTTCAATATTTTTGTATTCAGTCAAGACTACTTTAAATATGGGTCAGTGAGTCACTAGATCAAGAAGGCAAAAACAGATCCAATATCAAGAACAGCTGCAAGAGACCCTACGCACTATACGAACCAATTTTGCAACAGATAAGAAACTTTTACCCGTCAACTATGATCACTATGAACCGCTTGAAGTTTAAACATTTTAGCCAATTAAATGTGGCACATAATTCCTGCTGAATAATACTACATTTACTATTAAACGGCTATACAGCGTTTATTGAATTAATTAGAACATTTAAATGAAAATCAACAAATCAGCAAATTAACATCTCTAAGCACCAACCCTCAAACAATTGCCAAACTCAACTTAACTCGACTCCTACCTCAAATCTGCTCGAACATGCTTGACCACTAAACTTTGCGCCATGCCATACCAGGCCGTACCATCATCGCTTATTCTATCTGTTAACCAAGAAAATGTGGCCAACATTTATGCCCAGGAGCAGCCCTAATTGTGTTCATTGAGTGGCCACGCCAGAAAACTTTGACCATTGTTGACCGCATTTCGGTTGTGTGGCAAAATGCAATTAAAACTAATGCCAAATCTGTGCCGAGTTCTGGGATAATTCTAGGAACCCGTATGACTTGCCTTTTTTGCTTATGGCCCAACTACATATATTCATTTCTTCTACTTCTTGTTGCAGGTTTCCTTCTTCTTATCATCGTATGTGGCACCCTTGACGCTGATTTGCTTCCTCTATATGGGAATGTTGGCGCGTCTGTGGAAAAGTGCTCCAGGCTGCAAGCCATCCGCCGAGTCACGGTGAGTACACACTCTCTACTCACGCCCCCAGACCCAGAGAAAAACCACGCACAGACAAACGCACATCAAGTATACGCGCCGTGTGCCGGCTGCCTCAGACAGGATGGAGAATTTTCTGCCCGTTTTTGTTTGTTTTTTTTTTTGTTTTTGTATACGCACCTGCGACCAAGGCTGCGGACCATGATGAATGCCTTTTTATGAGGCCAGGTTCTCGTGAGCTTTTACCTCATACATTTTTAAGTGCCCTGCACCGTAGGGTCAACGGAACATAAGCCGGCTCCGCATGAGCGATACTTCCCCAGAGAAGAGCGCGACAAAAAAAGAGGAATGAGAGACCAAACTCTATGTAATACTCGTAATAGAAAAAGGAAAAGATAAAGCATTGAGGAGGAGGCTTTTTAATGTGAACAAATTTTGCTCCTTATTTTGGGAAAATTTTTGTCAAATTAGTTCTGAGTATTCAAGTTGCTTACTCAGTGATCATAGACATGAAAACGACGCCAACGGGGTCACCAAAAAAAATAATCACCAAATAATTTTCATGAATATGAAATAAAAACCGAGTTAATAAAAAAGAAAATTTATTCACATAATTATAGTTAGAAAAAATATTCCAGCCGGATAAAAAAGCGCAGCTTATCGAGGTCACCCAATTATTACGTTAAAGCTTCGCTGTTTTTAGTTGCCAACTAATTATAACTTTAATATTTAATGCTTAAATACTAATGCAAACTTGGCTGGGAAATTAAACTGGAATTGAACAGGAAAACATGGCCACAGATGCATACAACGTGATCGGGGTCACCAGCCATCAATTTCAAGCGAAACTTTCTACAATTCCCCCAACTAGCAGTTAAAGCTAGAAAACTTCAGTTCGACACGAACTTGTTGGAGTTTCTCGACAAGACCATGACCACAACTTTTGAAAAAGTTTGTTTTTATCATAAATGAAATAATATTAAATGACGGCCAAATGAAAAAGTTGCAACATAAAACAATGACTTAATTATTAAATGAAAATTCCAGAAAGAAAAGGCTTTCAAAATTAAAGAGAAAGTGGTTGCTGGCATCTAAAATATCCTAATAGATTTAATAGAGATTTAGTTGCCTAAAAATAATGTTAAATTTTACCTAAAACCAGCAGCAACTAAATTAAACTCCCATAGAACTCGCAATTCGCACGAAAAGTTCATAAATCAAAGGGCAGCGTATGCAATGCGAAATTCACAAAAACAAAACTGTGTCATAATTTATGCCACAGTATCTATGTACTATCTCTCCACCCTTTCCTCTGGACTAACTCTACCAGAAATATATATATATATATATATATATATGTATATATTTCTCTTTTCCACTTGCAGCAAGGGCAAGCGACGCGTCACACGAATGGTAGTTGTTGTCGTATTGGCATTCGCCATATGCTGGCTGCCCATACATGTAAGTACTCAAATATCAATACAGATTCATACATTATACCTACACACATGCCATATAGCTTAATAGCTGATATACACTATACACTTAGTAGATCTAATCGGTTAAATCGGTTCAGCCATTTTGCAACAGAAAAACTAAAGCATGAATACTTCCATTTATAAATTAATTCATTGGATTAATTGGCCAATTCCAGCGATTTTTGATAGATGAGTAGACCATGTCTACAGATATATAATACTGTCATGTCAGAGTTATACATAGATGTAAATAAAACCCACGCAAAACCATCGCAATTTGCCAATAGGTGCACAAAACTGATTAATGTCAATTTCATTGTGGGTGGGGACTCTGTTTAAATTAGATTTACATTAGACTTGAAAAGATAATTTGAGGAAATAGTACTAGTATACATACATATATATTTTTGTGTATGTATATTAAGCGTGGGCAGTTTTGTTGTACACAGTTCAAGAGGCGTTTCTGGCGTGCACTGGGACACACACTATCACTTATAGAATTTATAGAACTTTATAGAATTCCTTTACTTTACTTTGAATATTGTAAAGATATTCAAAGTGCTTTAATTTTGAGCAGAGCAACAGCTGCTGCTCAAATGTGCTGGCAAACAGTAAGCAAGCTGCTCGGATAGTTGCGATAAATTGACATTTGTGATTCAGATACTTACACCCCATGCCAAACACCATTCCAACATCCTCGAGAACAATTTATTTGCTGAAATGTTTAATAAGCCAGGGCCAAAGCTGGCGGCAGCTGCTGCTGCTGCTGCTGGCACACTCTCCCTTAACCTACGACAGAAAGGCAGACAGACAGCATTCAAAGTGTTTGCACAAAATCAATGTGCTTACAAATTACAAATGAAATTACAATTACACACACACAATCCGACACAGAACACACTCGAGGCAAGATGTGCAAATTGCATTTATCAATGCCAACATATGGCTACGACTATGACTATGACTATGTATATCCCACTGATAACATACTTTGTGCATCTCTTTTTCAAAAAAAAAATTAAAAAACATACAAAGGTCATACTGGTTCTAAAGGCGCTCAATCTGTACGGCGGCAGTCACTTGTCGGTCATCATCCAGATCATATCACATGTGGTGGCCTATACCAATTCCTGCATCAATCCGATACTCTATGCCTTTCTCTCCGACAATTTCCGCAAGGCATTCCGCAAGGTGAGACAACTTTACACGCTGCACTCTTTTTTTCGAGCTATTTTATTTTTTTTTTTTGTTTTCTTCACTTCAAGGTGGTCTGGTGTGGCAGCCCACCGCCGCTTTTGACCAATCAACAGGTGACCAAGACCACGCGTACTGCAACCGGCAACGGAACGTCCAATATTGAAATGCTCTAAGCGGGTAAGTTTACCAAAAAATATACTTACGCTTAAAAGTTGTTCCACAACTACGAGCATAGCTAATCGGTTGACCGATTTCCACCAAATGTAAGAAAATTCATTTCCGTTTTATTTGAAATAAAAGTTGGAGAGAAATTTCTACAAGAGTTGATTTTAATTACTAGAAAAACTTCACAGCATTTCCATAAAAGTTGTTTCATATACTTTTGTGTAAATACTTTAAGCTGTTGTATTTTAGTTGCATAGTTTTTTTAGCCCAGTTACTGCAGTAGGTGCAGAGCATTTGAACACATTTTTAATTAGCTAACTTATGACTTTTGACTTACGCAACGTTTTTCTATTCCACTTTGCAGCTCTGAAGAATAAAAATTAATGGTCGGCCACCTTTTTTGATGATGATTGGTCCACCAAAGAAATGGAAATTTGAATTTAAAATAAAAAAAAAAACAAATAAAGAAAAAGAATAAATATAAAAATTATTCTGCAAACACGGCGCACCCAAATAAACTTCATATATGCATATACATATATATTAAACGATTTATGTCCAAGAGGAGAATATAATTGTCCTTGTTATTTACTTAATGTGTTTTCTAAAAATTAGTTTAGTTCGTACATACATAATATATGATTAGTTTGTGGGTTCTATAGTTAAATTTTCAAGATTTTCTTTATTATAAAATATATACATATTTTTGTAGTTTATTAAAGAAGATTTATGTATGTATGAATTCTGTGAATATTGTTCTTGAAATTTGTTCATTTTTAATTTGTTGCCATAATCATTATGTAATCGGTTATTAAGACGCTGTGTACAATTTTTTGAAATTTTAGAGAAATAAGCTCATAAGAATAACAAAATGGTAGAATATTAAGCAAAATGCAACAATTTGATAAAAAGAAACTTACAATTCAATTGTTTGAAATGAAATTTACACAACATTAAAAAAAAAGAAAGAAAGAAAAAAACAAAACAAAAAAAAGAAAAGAAAACAAAAATATAGTACTGATAAACAGGGAATGAAGAAAACTCCAATTTGCAGGAAAAGGGCAAGGCAAAAAGGAGAGATGACAAAACAAATAAAATGAATGAAAGTAGCGTTTAAGTGCAGGGCCATGTTAATGGAAAATTCCTGTAGCTAGATGTAGAAACAGAGTTTGCCAATCGTTTGGTTTCTGTGCGTTTCCTGTTTTTTTTCTCTGTGTATGAGTGTCATTTAGCCATTAAGCGTTGAATAGCAGAAATTTATAATTAACAAAAATTCCACACACACACAGAAAAAGTAATAATGGAATTGCATGACCAGAAGAGACCAGAGAATGGACAGCAGATTTATCGAGTGGCAGTGGCAATTTATATATTAAACACTTTTTGAAACCTAATTGTTTTTTATGTTCGGTATGCAATTACAACAATACATATATTGATAAAGTAGCACACAAAATTAATGAAATTACTCGTAATTAAGATGAAACCTATATGAATACTTAGATAATATTTTGTAGATATACATACATATGTATGTATTTATGTGTATATGCAGGCGTACTCGATAAATGTTTGAGCAAAACAAGTCCTAATTGAAATTTTCTAATACTCTCAAAGCTCAATTGCATATGAAGCGCATAAATAAATATGCGTATAATCCTTTCATCAACTCTTTATGCTAATTAAATCGTTCAACCGTGGCATTCCCCACAGGGAATTACCATTGAATATCACAATAAAAAGTTTAATGCTAATTTCAGCCACCCATTGAGCGTAGAGCAGGGCATATGAGGCTCAAGGGCACAGCTATCTTATGCTGGATGGTATTGCCATAATTAAGGCCCAAATGTGTGTTTCCAGACCTAAAAGGAAACCAATTTGGTTTTGATTTGCATTAATTAAAAAATCATTAAGCAACCTTTTACCGATACTTTTGAGTACCAAAGAGTATCCTATCCATTCCTGCTTGTACCCTACAAAAAAAAATATCTCATAAATTAGGTTATTGTTGACCCATGACATGTTTCACCATGTTTTTTTGTTACGCCACTAGTTAATCATGTAAATTATAGATTATGAATACTATACAACCATATTTATATGTACGTACGTGCATATTTATGTATTTGACTAAGCAAAGTATTTTAAATATTATTTTTGTTAAATTCTTTGATTTATTTTGCGTTGCTTCGGCCTTGCCGAATTAAAAATGTAACATAAGATGAATTGATAAATGTTATTAAACATACAAATAGCAACACTAATTTATGGGGAATAATTTATGTATGTACGAGCACTTGGTGTCGAAACTGGAGAGCAGCTCGTCTCGTGTATTTATTCATAGAGATATCTACAATATATATGTACATTGTACATACATACATATGTGTGTGTGTCTGTTAAATGCATATACTATATATACGTACATACATATGTACTATTTGTATATGTCCTACTGCATTCCTAGCACAGTTGTGGAATTGAAAAATATTTGAATTTAAAACAAAAAAAGGGGACAAAACCAAACTTTTGACAAACAAATTTAAAACCAAAACAAAATTAACTAAATGACAAAAAAATATTAAAATATTGTAGATCTTAAGCAAATGATTCACAGGAGCGTTTTTTTTTTTGTTTTTTTTATCATAAATATTTATATATATATACATATGTATGTATGTGTGCCCGCTTGACTGTAGGGTATTCACTAGCCGCCTAGCCACACAAACTAGAGCCAACTGAAAAAAAATTCAGATCCTGTATGTATAATATTTTTATTATTTACTTACGTTCTGCAAAACCAAATAAAAATTAGCTAATGTAAGATGATAAAAAAAAAAAAAAAAAAAAAATAAGATCAGCAAAATATATTGTATTCGTATATGAATGTATATGTACAATAAAATTTGTTCATTGTGTTAAATAAAATTGATGAATCTGTGTACTCGGCGGCGTCTCATCATTTGATTTAATCTGCGAACTCTGGTTCGGGACGCAGCTGTGGAGAGATTCGAGGAAGCAAACAATCAGTCTTTTAGGGAATTTATGGTATATACTTACGCCGCTTGGGAGGTAACTCATTCTGATTCTGGACTCCCTCTCCCGGCAATGTTACAAAGGAATTCATTTCTAGAAAGGCGGCTGTCCAATGTCCAGCGACAAGCCATCGCGATGCATCGGCTGGTAGGCGGTGGCTCTGCTATGGTTAGGATCAAATACAGAACACCCATTAATAAACATGAAATTTCATTGAAAACAAATTATTTTATTTAAAATAATTATTTCGGGGCATGCTGCTTTGAACGACACTTGCCCAGGAACATGCCCAAGATGCTGCATAGACAGGATTTATTTTTGAACAACGAGGAATCGTCCCCCTTGAACTGGTCCCCGTCACCATTGAACTGGTCCCCGTCTCCCTCAAAATTGTTATTTCCCCATCGAAACTTGACCTCCCCGTACTGTAATTGGACTGTCCGCGTAGTGCCAACTCGCGGATTTCCTTCTTCTGCTGCTCCCACAGCACAGACATGGACTCTCCGTTCTTCACACGATTCAATTCATCTTTGCGAGCCGCCAGGTATTGTTTCTATGGGAAGGAAGACACGGGATAAGCCCATTTAGGACCCAACAAAATGTACTGCTTGATGCGTCTTACCCTCTTGAACTTGTTCTTTTCTATGCGTGTTAACCCCTGCCAGGCATCGGCGGCATTATTAATCAACTCCATTGCACACAGGCCATCATTGGCGAAGGTTTCCCGAAAGTCCTGTATGAAGTTGAAGTGGGCGCTGTAGTGGACTGAATCATAATTACCGGCGACGGACATCCTCACAAAATAATATCGGAATTAAATCAAAACTTTTTCCATAAATTTGGATGTTGATTCTAATACTTTAGGTACCTACTACGTATTTGAAACTGAATAAGTGAATAAGTGAACAGGTAGTGACACAACGACTCGAATAGAAAGGGCATACTTTCTTATTGTTGAACGTGTGAGGGAGGTGTATCCAGAGATAAACTTATTATCGTAAATGTCCCGGGTCCCCCCGCGTCTATGGACAAGGTTCACCAGAAGAATACTCTAAAAATATGCAATATGCCCATTTGTGGCATGTACAAAATCGTGTTATCTTGAGACTACCGTGCCACCCATTCGAAATTCGTTCCATTATATTATTTCGTACACAAATTTCCAGTTTTTGCAGCCAACGGCAGGCATGCAACAATGCCATCAGTCGCTCGACTCAGTGGCTCATTATTCAGGTGCCCGAAAAAATTGATGATCAACATTATCCTTAATGCAGTGTCACGTCAGCGACATGCCCCATGGGCTGAGTGGGCGGAGGTGGCATGCAAATAAAAGTACCGAGTACCGAGTAGCGATGCAAATGCAAATGCATATAAATTTAATGTTCTCTGGTCACATATTTTTTTCATAGCTTTTGTGCATTGAAGTTTTGTGTGGCCATCATCAAGGAAGGGCAAAGTTGCAAAATATTTAATGCCTCTCTCCATCTCCTTTACTCTTTTTCTTACCCCAGCCATAGCTCTCGTTCTCACCATATCTCTTCCCCCCTTTCTGTGTCTGTGGGTCTGTGTGCTTGTGTGTCTCATCAAGTCGTACATTTTATTGAATGAATCGAGACTGCAAGACCAAGGAACTAGGAACTGTGGACTGGGGACAATGCAGAGCGAGACACGAGACGAGAGTGTGTCAATTGTTCAGTCACTTTGTCCCTTGACAGTTTCAACGATGGCCATCTACGTCACTGCAACTGCAACTGCTACTGTCTTCCTCCTTATCGGCTTGCACCCTCTGACTGCTCAGTGCTTTCATTTAAATATCTTCGTTTCTTCTATGAAAGCACGCGCAGCAGTTAATTGGAAAATTTGCAGAGCAACATGGGATGGACGGTAAACAGACCCACCTGAAAAGCGAGCTCGAGCTCTGTCTCTAGCCCATGAGTGGAACGCTTCTGTTGTCCTCATATTCCAAATATTTTTGGAAGGGAAGCGGAAACTTTGGCCTTCGATTATATTTAATTTGGAATTGTACAACACTGCATAATCGTAATAAAAGCAACTTTTGCCGCCGCCATTTTGCCGGCGGCTGTGGCACAACGGGTTGACAGCCCGTTGATGTTGACAGTCCGTTCCTGGGTTCGATTCCCGGTGTAGAGCAATGCGTAGTTTTAGTTGTAGATTTTATAAGATATTCAGAAATTCCAACTGCCGAGAGGACGGACGTTGGTGTTCAAAATGCCTCCGACTGCACGGCTGATACGGCTACTTTCTTCTGACAAAGAACAGAAGATATACATAGAAGAAAAGAAGGTTTCGGACAAGAAGTTCCAAACTTTTTGCGCAAATATTATACACATTAAACTTTTTTTTTTTTTTTTCATTTTCTGTACCTTTTCTTAACATTTTTGATGTAAATAACAAACTGCAGATAGAATTTGTAGATGCGTTTTACATGCGGGTTGCAGCATCTGCATATTGGATCGTGTTTTTATCTTATTAATAATTCCCAAATCTTTTTTCTAGGCTAAGACAAACTGCAGTGCTCTCTCTCTCCCTTTCTCTCATGACTTGCCTGTTTCGTTCGCCCTTATAATTCCCAAGTCGTTTTTTCTTGACGTTTCTGTCGAGTATCTCGCAGTGGCGTCATTCTAGGAAGGGTCGAGAAGTGTGTCACTTATTATGTCCGATACACACTACTAATAGATTGGATTAGGTTTATGGGTTAGGTTTATAGACCCTACCCGATATTGTAAGTTATATTTTAAAACTTAAAACTACAAAAATAATTATTTTCAAAAGCAGTTTATGGACAAAGAATAAACTCAAACAATATACTCAAAAATAATAATAAGTAACTCAAATTTATATTGTATCTAGTGTGTGTAATTATAATAGTTCTGCATTACTCGGAAATACTCATCCTATTCAGATATGATTTAAAAAAACTCGTAAGCAACGGCTCCTATATCCTAGAAATGTTCAACTTCGTTTTGGCTTGAATTTCATAATAACCCTACAAATTTCATTAGTCATTAAACAATAATTAAAATAATTTTTCTAGGCAGGCGGGAAGCGAAGGCCAACCCAAGCAGTCATCGCAGGCGCAGTAGTAACAGGACCATAACACGATCACCGTTCGAAGGAGCGTCAGAAATTAAACCAAATTTAATCCTCGAATTCTACAAATGAATTATCTAACAAAATGGGAACGTACTCGTATTTATCGTTTCAGGCAAAGCTAAAACTTCTAGAATTTGTAGCAAAGACTTCTAGATTTTAGTGGCTAAAACTTCTAGATTTTTGCAGCTTTGTTTAACACACCAGCAGGACACACACACAAGTGTGTTCTTACACTGACCACTGAGCACAAAAAAAAAAGGAACAAAGAACATATGAGGAGGCACCTCTAAATTGGTAACCAGCAACCAACCACTGGCAAAGTCAACTAAGAACTGAGCCCAGAAAATGAATGCGTGAAAGGTACAAATGGGTGGACGGGTGTCGGTGGGTGGAGTTGCCAGGTCTACAATAGTGCTGCATAAATTGGGGCAACATGTGTAAACAGTGACATTATTTAGCTAAGCAATTGTCTCTCCTCTCTCTCCTATCTCTCTCTCTCGCTCTGGGAGTGAGTGGGCGGAACAGTGACCTAACAACAGTGGGTCAAAATATAAACAATATATGCAACGAATACTGCAATAAATAAATGCTAAAGGTAAGCGGTAAAAAATGCTATTTATGCAACAAATATGAATGCAATTTTTGGTTAAAAAATAAGCACGCATTGAAGTTATTTATTAGATATCAAACATTGATCAGTCTGGTGCCCAGCTGCAATTCAAAATTAATAATAAATTGGTTAAATTCTGTAGCATATACGACACCCATTGTCCCTGAAGATTGTGTGGGTTGTATTGAAATTCGTGCAAATATTGGACAATTTATGCGAATTTCGAAATGAGAACACAAGTCGAGTGCAGACTGGAGCGCACACAGTACACCGATTTTTATGGGGGCAAACAAAAAAAGAGAGAGCAACAAGCGTAAGTTGTTCGATTTTATGTTGTTTTGTTAAGCCGCCCCCTGCCCTGACAGCATCGGCAGTATCAGTATCAGTGTCCGGTGCAGGAACAGACAGCAGTACAGCAGTAGAAGCAACAGGTAACAGGTGACAGGAGCAGAGCAGAGTCAGCTATAGGGATGACTTTGGGGCCCAATTGGACGGACCACAAATAAACAAGGCAATAAGCGGCACACGACACACGCAATTGCTGCCGTTGCTCTTCATTATACATACACGGGCATTGCCTGTGGTGTATGAGGTGTGTGTGGGTCTGAGGTGTGTGGGTCTGAGGTGTGTGAGTCTGAGGTGTGTGTGTCTGTGGATGCAACCTCTCTTCGTGGCCATGCTGCCTGGGCTCATTACTTCAAATAAGCTCGAATAGCATCCGCGGTGTCAGGCCATTTAATTATGCAGACGCCCGACAGTTGGCCGCCGACGCCGCCGCCGCCTTGACCATGGGTACGCGCTGCCCGCGGCCAGCTCCGGTTATATTTCAAAACCGGAGCGCACACCGGCCAAACTGTTCAGTTGCCACGCGGCCATTGTGTGAGCCGCACCATACAGCAGAGACATCCAAGAATCTTGTAGCAGCCGCAGCAGCAGCACAAGAATTTTTCGCCATCATCATGGGCCAACCATCGACTGGCATCGGTCCCAGGAACTGGATCCTATGCGGCGCCGTACTGCTGTTCATTCTGCAGCTATTCCAAACCTCCGATGCACTGCATCACACCGAGGAGGGACTCGAGCTGCTCTTTCGTGAACGGTGAGTTAATATTTTATGGCTGAGACAAGTTTCTGGGAAGAAATTGTGTGCGAAATTTACTAAAATCAACTCAAAGTGGTTCTCTTAAGACTTTTAATTAATTTGAAACCTTTTGGTTTCGAATCGATGCAGCGTTACCAGAGTTATGTGGGCTCTTTTCTTGTCCGGAGTGTCCCAAAGGGTACTAAACGCATTGCAGCTGCGGTCTATGGCGGACTGAAGATCTTCTCTAGCATAGAATGCAATTATTTTCGACAGGAAAAATTACATACTTTAATTTAAAGTATTTTTTATATTTATATGGAAAAAAAAAGACTAATTTAACAAGAACTGTTAAATACATTTACAGTGCAAATATATATACCGATATACTACTTTTCAGCTCACAGTCGGACTGGGAGAATGTGTGGCATGAGGAGACGCATTCCCGTTGCCGGGACAAGCTTATTCGCCAGCTATATTGGGCCTGCGAGAAGGACATTTACCGTTTAACGCGACGCAATCGCAAGCGAACGGGCAATGACGAGGCCTGGATCAAGCAGAGCTCCGCCACAAAACGTAAGATGGGGCCCATTGAGCTGGTACCTGCTTCAGTTATATGTGTACCATATGTATCTGTAAAATGATTTCAGCTGGTACGCCCCCATCGACTTGGCTGCATGTCAACTATGCCAATATGTTCTTGAGGACACGTCGCTCCAATGCTCCATCGATCACCAACGAATGCTGCACCAAGGCCGGCTGTACCTGGGAGGAATATGCCGAATATTGTCCCTCCAATAAGCGGCGCAATCATTACTGATTTCCCTTTGGTTGTTCTACACATACATATAAATATATTGATATAGGTTTGCTTTTTTGTTATTGTTTTATATGTTGTCGTTGTTGTGGTTTTTGTTGTGGCGTTGGTGTTGGGTATGTGTACAACTGTGTGTATCTAAATGAATAAAGTTTATGAATCGTCACGGTTCACAAAAAAAAAAAAAAATACTTTACTAAGTTTATCTAAATTTCTATACACTCTACGATTATATATGTATGTATATGTATATATATATATATATATATATATATATATATATATGTACGGTATATATGTATCTGCGTATAGCTATTGGTTTTACAATTTGGTTTCTACATTTTATCTGTATTTTTATATAAACAAAACATTTGAAAAGTTCTAAAACTCTTTGAGTGATGTTTTTTTCTTCTAATTAATATTTTTTTGGTTACCCCATCAGACAATGGAGAGAGAGAGAGAGAGAGGAGTGAGTGTGAGTAAGCGAATAAAATATATGTAGATGGGAAAATCTTTTTCCAGTGGATTTCTTTCATAAATTTAAATCAAATACTATAAATAAAAAACATTATGCTTACAAAAATATAAAAAATAAATGCCAAACAGGCTATGCAGAAATTAATAATGCTCACATTCTGTTCATTGATTCAAATGTATAAATAGCAAAAATGCACAAATAAAATTCACATGCTGATATTTGCGGAAGAGACGGCACGGGATGGGCACTAAAACGTTGATGACGAAAAAGTTACCTGATGCCCGACCTGCCACTGTGGCACCACTCGACCTACCATCCAGGAGAATAGGAACTTATTTGGAACGTACAAGCCTAGCCGGAGGGCAGTGTATATTGGCTAAGATTATTTTTGATAACTTTGCAAGGCTTTATTTTAGATTAGATATCGAGCAATTGATCTAAACAGACTACCGGCTCAGGCCTTTGGACGAAGTCGAGAGCCAGTTCAGGTCAATTGACCGAAATTCAATCTAAACTAAACCCTTGAAACATTATACAAATAATTACCCGTCCACGTTGCAGCAGAAGAAAGCGTTTCTTGGGCGCGAGTAGTGTATAGTTTTGGGGTGTAGTGTGGTGGCGAATCTGCCATTGATTCTCTAATCCCATTCCCATGCGCATTTGCTTCATAAACAATTTGAGTTCGTGTTCGAATGCCTGCCACACGTTAGCTTACGTTTGCCCCGAAGGGTTTATGCAACACAATCATTTTCAAGTGTAACTAACAGATTAATTTGAGAACTAAATGAACTTAACTAACTCTTAACTTAAAACTTATGCTGAGCAGCTGCACCTGTCGCTGAGCAAGTTCTTTCTACGTTCGTCCTGCACTCACATAATCATATACTTTCTATCTCTCTCTCGCTCTCGCTGTGTTCAAGTGTTAAAAAAAACCTTTTAGAATAATATCACTTAGTCAAAATTCCCTGCCATCCCTCCCCACTCGCCCACGCCATTTAAGATGGTGTTGCCTCCCCATCATCTTCATTTTCCTTGCGACTCTTGGCCGGACCTTGGCCTGTGGAGCTGCTATGTGGTGGACGCGGACGCTTCGAGGCCTGGCCCTGATCGTAGTGGCTGTCTAGCATATCCAGAAGCGTTAGTTGTCGCAGTTTAGGAGCAGTTTCCTTTGGAGGTGAGCCTCCACCTGCTGCTGTTGCTGCTGCTGCTGCTGTTACTGCTGCTGCTGGCTGGCTGATCTCGCTGGGCGTGGCCTCCAGGCTGGCGGCCATCATCATGGCATTCGCCTCTTCATCGTCGGAGAGCAGTAGGGCGGCCGGTGAGCAAGTCGAGTCGTCCTGCGAGGCAAACAGCTCTGGACTTTGTTCATTGCTGGCGGTGTTCAGCTTCTTGATCGGCTGCGGCGTGGAACCCGACGACGATGGTGGCGTTTTCTTCTTCAGCTCATCGCGTATATAGTCATAGAGATTGGGCTTGGTTGCTGACTGGCTCGACGGCGATGGATTGGTGCGCAGACTGTAGTCGAAGCGACGCAGCACGGTCCAGAGCTGACGCACGGTGGTGCCCTGGCTGCGGAACAGTTGCCACATCTCGTGCAGCTCGTCGCGCAGCCGGATGTTGCCGAAGGTGTAGTAGGCCAGCGGGCGGCGCAGTGTGGCACAGACCATCAGCTGCAGCAGCGACTTGAGACGAGCATCGCCGCCAAAGGCACCGCAGCCCCAATTGCCCGTGGCCACGCCCGGCGGCTCGCTGGCCATTGCATGCATGAAGCCGCAGTGTGCCTTATTCAGCTCACGCTCCACCAGATCCTCGCGATACTGATGTGTGGCATTGGCAAACTGTAGCGCATCGATGGCCACAATTGCCGTCTGGCGGCGTCGCGAACTGTCGCGCGGCGTCAGATCCTCGTGATTGCCGGACCAGGTGAAGGTGCCGGCATAGCCCGTGTAATTGCTATAGCGCTCCGCACCGAGCACCATCAGCGCCTCTGTGGGACGTAGGGATTCCGTGAAGAGTTTGCTCACCAACAGCTCCGGGCAAATGACAAAGCGGATCTCCTCCTGCACACAGCCATGGCCGAGAACGCCGCCGCCCAGATACTTGTTGGCGAAATCCACCTGCAGCAGGCCGACGCCCTGGTCCTCAATCGTTCCGGCCGAATTCACATGCAATGGCACGTCACCCAGTGGCTGCGTGACTTGATTCCAAATCGTCGTTTGGTCCGGCTCGATGCTGCGCCGTAGAAATGTCACACAGCCGGTGGGCACATTGCTGCCATCCCGTTCCGTGGGACAGACACGACGGAAATAGTGCATAATGCACTTGAGCTTCTCCAGCACGGCAGCACCCGACGATTGGTAGAGCCTGTGTGGGCGAGGGATGGGAGGATTATAAGCACTTGAACCTAAGCTCCGGCATAAGCAAAGCCACTCGTTCTCTCTCTCTCTCTCTCTCTCTTACCTATTGAAATTGATGTCCGGAAAGGTGCTGTACTCCGACTTGGGCTTGAGCGTATTGCGGCGCGGATAGGTACATAGAAAGGCATTGGCCAGCAGGCACGAGATCTGCTGCTGGGTGAGTGTGATCATGCCGTTCGTATGCTGTTTGAGCAGGGGCAGGGAGGCCTGTACGATATCGGGCAGACGCAGGGCCAGACGAATGATGCGTGGCAGGAGATCCTCGAAGAACACCTTTGTCTCGCTCTCGTCCAGCTCCTCCTCGAGCAGCTGGTGCAGCGCACGAAAATTCCACTTGCCCTTGTACGTTGTGTTGTACGAGAGTATCGCATCCTGCAGCTGCTCGCTGCTGGCAATCGGCTGCAGCAGTGCCCGCTCGATCATCTCCCAGCGGGAACCGATCGTTGTGCTGCCATCGCCATTGTCGCGCGGATATTTGCTCTCCGGTGCGCAGGGCAGACGCACATGGTCCGAGTCCCATTTGCCGGCGCCCTTGAACGGACGCGGCGGCACCTCGATCGACTCGCGTATGGGATGCTTGTGCATTACGCGGTTCAAGCTATTGGGCGACACGGCACCCATATGCTCCAGCTGGAACAGTGGCAGGCCGCGGTGTATATCCTCGATGGGCACGCCACGCCAAGTCCGCTCCGGCGAGGGTGGACCCGAACCCGACACTGAGCCCGAGCCTGTACCTTTGCAAATCAGATTTATTTGTTAGTTATGTGTCTGTCTGTCTGTACTCGTGTGGGTTTCGCTTGCGCCTCACCATTTGCACACTCTTTGTGCACTTTCTTCGCTTTCTCCACTGTGGGCGGCGAATCGCCGGCTGTTTCTGCTGCCATGCCGGTCTTGGTCTCCGCGCCGGGGCTGCCAACAGCTGCCGCCTCCTCCATGTCCAACTCCATGCCCACTGTCAACGCCGCAATGCCCCTGCAATTGAGTGCAGACTCCAGAAATAATTTATGAAATATACGCAAAATTTTGACGGCTATGCGTTTGTTTTGACCCTCAGAAATATACCCAAAATGCCTTGTCATTATCAAAATATACCAAAAAAGATACCAAAACAGATACCAAAAAGCAGCTCGGCGTTGCGGAGTGTGACCACACGCCGTGCAAATTCACGCGTTTTGGTCATATTCCACTACACTTCAAGTAAATAGTGTTTGACTAGTAATAAAAAGATTATGCAGTTAGAGTGAGATGCAGAAACAACATATACCGGTATAACGACACTTAGTGATGCGCAGTTGCAGTATTTCGATAAACTTTTACTTAAATACTAATATTAAAAGAAGCTTTGTGTGAACTGTGATGGAACTGGATAGTTGCACGATTGAATATCACTTTGTTGTTACTGTGTACACACTGCTGCCTATGTTTTCATTTTCGCGGTGCGTTGAAAGAAAAAAAACACTCTAACGTTCATATTATTTATATGTGTGTGTTGGTGTATGCAGAGGTGCATATGTGTGTACATATATAATATACAATTGAAAGCCACCCAAAAAACAGGTATTGTATTGTGGATAATTTGGATTTATGTGTTTTCAAAAAAAAAAAAAAAACAAAAAGCTTGCCACATCTCCCCATACGTTGACGTCAGTGGCGGCAGAAACGCCGCTTTATTTACTACCCCTCCCACCACCGCACCCGTTCTCTTATGTTACTCGGTCTGTCTGTCTGTATGTCACCTCTCTCTCCCGCCCCTCAGCCTGCTTCTTGCGGACCATTCTTAAGCGCTTCAGCTTACGTGTAAACTGTGGTGGTGAACGCTCTCTCAGCATCGCATACACGTGCAAGCTGGGAGAGAGCGCCCATAGCCAGACCAGACAAAGTGTTTTCCAATAAGGTGGGGCGTTTCAAGAGCGCACTCTTGATTTCAAGAGTCCGGAGTCGCAGTTTAAGAAGCTTAGCTAAGCTATCCATGCAAATTACATAAAGTGAAAGGCCTCTTCACTCGTATATTTTCACGCAACCGGATGTATTTTATGATATTTATAAAATGGCACTCCTGTCATTACCTCACCTGATAGATAACATACAACTTGTACTAGCGCCTACAGCGAGAGAGAATTTGCGAGAGCGAACGTGGGAGAGAGACTTTTTTGTTTGTTTGTTTTGAAGCAGCAGCAGCTCAAAAGCAGAATACTGCAAAACAACAAAATCAAAATAAAAAATAATTTATTGAATGTACTTTTCCAAAAGTTCAACAGACTTTTATCTACCACAAGCTAATGTTCTAATCAGCAGTTGCGCAGTTCTCCTCCTCTCCCTCTTCCTTTGATTCCACATTTTCTGCTGCTTCTCCCAAGGTACATTCAATGGACGGGGAGGCTGTCTGGGAGAGCGGCAGGAAAACCTGATTCAGTTGCAATTACCACACAATGAGCGAGAGAGAGAGAGGGAGTGTGTGTGTGTTGGTTGGCAAACCACAATTAGCTTGGCCCCTGCCAGAGCTTCTAATCGTACCTTACATTTAATATACCTTACATTTGCCTCTGCCGCTGCACTCCCCTGCTGCTCACTCTCGCTCGTTTTGCTTACCTGTGGCATAGCGCGTAAACAAATGAAAACAGCAAAAGGGGCAGCAGAAACAGTTATCACTCAAAGAATTCTGCAAATTAGTATGTGTGCCAGGGTGAGTGTTCCCCCTCTCTCGCGCTCTATCTATCACACTCTCTCTCTCTCTGACTGTTTAGCCTTCAAATCTACGTATTTGTTGCCTTGACCATAACCTAGAAATACACTTAAGCGTTCGTTCGCTCTCTTTCTCGTTCTGAAAGCCTTTTGCGTCAGCTGCCAAAACAGGTAGTAGAGGGGTGGTGTGGTGTGGAGGGTCTGTGCATGGCATAGATATAGAAAGCAGCGAAAGAAAACCGCCCCGAAAATGCGAAATGTTAGTAAACTTATTCAAGGTCACCCCACAAGTATGAACTAATACTTAATCAACGGCAATCAGTGGCAGCGCGGCAGACGCAGAAGCACAAGGCAGCAGCAACGTCAACGTTAGCTGCGACTGCGACTGTGACTGCACTTTTGTGTGGTCGCTGACTTGCTATGAATTAAAATTGAAAATTTCTTGTTTGGCAGGGCATGATTAAGAAAGATTTCGTATGCTACTGTACATTGAAATATGCAATCGACATATGTATGTACATATACATACATATTTATATAGTTGCCACATTATGGGTGGGGAGTATCTGATAGTGTGATAATACTCGACACTCGACATTTCATTTGTTTGAATTATTGATGGGAGTGTATGGGAAGTGGATGATCATGTGATCTCCATATGTTGTTGGACGAGTGCTGGCAGGGTGGTGGTGTTCAGAAGCCAGAGTCCCGATTGGGATCCATGGATGGCTCGGCTGGCACTTCTTCCATCAGTTGCCTCTAAAAAATAAAACTATTTATAGACGCTTGATGGATCTTCTCTTCCTGTCACTCAGCGCCACCCGCCCGCCCTCCTCTGCACACTACACTCACTCTCTCACTCCCTCTTTCTCTCTCTGTGTCTCTTATGCACTCTGTCTACTATACCGCCGCACTATAAACGCTCTCTGTTCCCTCTGCTTCCCTCCGCTCTCCCGCGCTCAGTGCACAGTTATCTTCCTCTTCTGACTTTTGTGCTTTTGTTCAATTGTGTGCAATAATACGACAACAACAAAACGATAAATGAAATTGTTTTTGGCTTTTGCTTTTTGGTTTTACTATGTTGTTGCTATTGCTTATTGTCAACGCGACTTGGCTCACGTTGGCAATGCGCGAAACAAAGAAGATGAAGGCAGTCAGCAGCGACGAAGCACAGCCGCAAAAAGGAGAACAAAAGTGTGCAATTAATAATGATACCCTTTGGCGTAGATAGGGTATGGGTATACATGCTCTGATCAAATCGTTGACACAAAGAGCGTGTGAGAGAGAGAGTGGAAAAATCCTGCATCTCCAGAAACTACACTTTCAGAATCCAGAGGCATTTGTGTACATACATATGTATGTACTATGTACCTAGAAACAATAATTCTGCCAAAGGGTACGAAGAGGAAGCACAGAAAACTGTTCAGGTAGTGCAAGAGTTAAAAAGGGGGAGAACGGAGAACAGTGAGCTTTGACCACGTGTTGATAGGGCGGGTCGCTAAACCCCGTCGTCTCATATAAAACTGCACCTCCCTCTCTCTCTCTCTCTCTCTCTCCCACACTAGGTTACCCCTACACCACCAGCCGCCCTCCTTATTGTTTCTGCTGCCTATCCATTTTGATTTTGCAAGCCACACGAAAAACAACAAACTTTTTGCCTGCGCGCATGACCTTGAATTTTCTATAAGAAGCAAAACATCTGACTGCGACGCTGACGCAGGCATCAAGCAGTAGTCAGGCAGCGGCATCGATTGCAGTGCGAAATTAAGTGAACAAAAAAAAAAAACCAGAGAGAAAAAAAGAATAGCTTTCGGTACGGAAGCTGTTGATACCCATTGATGACAATTGAAACTATTAATTTGTTTTATTATTTATTTATTTATTATTATCTCCCAATGAAAGCTACATATATGATATTGTGGGTTCTTTGAAGGGTTTTAGTCTGATAGCAACCAAGATAAATATATGGAATTTGCTGCTAGGAAAACGGATTTAGAATATATATAAGTTATGAGCTCATAGGACGCTTCACTTGGTCGGCGTTGCAAACATTTGATTAAAATCAGCATACCCTGTTTAAGGTTAGTTAAAAGGAAGAATGCATATGAAAAACTGTAGAATGTATGGGGCGGAAAGATACATCGAAAGCTCTCAGGTATGGCCCTGAACTCGTCCACCAAATGAAGGTATTTTTTTCGATACCAATAACTGACTGTCTAGGGAACAACAGAAATACTTAATATGGAATGATCTTCACCATACCAGCCAAGGGTGTAGTTAGGGGAAAACCCCTAAAGCCTGAACTAACACTCGACCGATTGAAGGACAGGTTAAGCCATAAAAACAGCCACCTGGCGACATTTAATAGGTATTATCACTTGTATATTGTACTCTGGGAATACATAGATAAATGTACTAGACGGAATGGTAAATTCAAAGAAAATTTAAAAATACCATATAGGTGTGTACATGCCATATATTTGGCCATTTATCGAGTCTCTCTGCACACATTATTATCTACTTCCTGGGGGCCACATAGAGAGGCAATACGAGAACCCCCAAAATTCAAACAAAGACAAACATCCAAAACTTGTTGTTTTTTTTTCTTTCAAGGGAGAGAGAGAGATAAAAAAAAGATAGAGAGAGAGAGCCAACACACACATTAAAAACGAATTAATTTTTGCAACAACAAAATGACTTTTAATGTGGAAATAATTGTAATTGTTGTTGTTTGTTTTTGTGCTTTTGTCGTGTATTTTTTTCGCATCAAGGTTGTTTTTATTTTATATAATTTTTTTTTGAGTTTGTGTGTTTTCTTTCATTTGTTATATAATCCACGGTACTGGATTTGTTGCAATTCATTTTTTTTTTTTATGCCCAGACAATCCACTGATTGGCGCCATCTGTTGGCCGGCGGCGTGATCTTGTCTCTGGATTTCACTTTCGAAGTCCACCCACCCACATGTGTGCACTCCCACTCCCGCATAACGGTATAGTGTTGGATACTCTGCCAGTGGAGAGTACTTGGGGTTGCTTACGAAGAGGTTTGTCTGGGTACGTGAAGGGGGGATCCCTCTATATAGATATTCTTGATCTATAATCATGGCAATACCCCAGAATAAATTTCTTAGTTTTATCTATCATTATTTCATTATCTATAGCAATCCTTGATTGCAAAGAAATCAAGCAACTACATATACAAATCTGACTAAATCTAAGGTTTAATTATATTAATTTTCTACACTTATTAATACATGTAACCATATATAATCATATGATTAAATCTAATAGCTGTCATTGGGTACAGATAAACCAATGGGAAACCTTTACAAAAAAAGCTACAATATGTTTCCAAATGGTTCAGGAATAGATTCATTATACAAAAAATGATTCAGTGTCTTCAAATGTTATTTTAGGGTATCTAAAATTTCGTTTTTAAATTTTTTTTTGCTTTTGTTTTGTTTTGTGTGGTACATTTATTTTGATTGCGACGCGTGAGTTTTTGTTTTGTTGGTTTTATTTTTGCAATTTTTTTCATCGTGTTTTTGTTGCTTTTTAATTGTCTTTACACATTTATTGGGGTTAAGGCCTTCTTGACTTGCCATCACCTCTTTTTGGCCGTTTTGCTATTTTGCTGCTGTGTTTTTTGTTTTTTGTTTTCCCTCTTTTGTTTTTGTTTTC